GTATGGTTTCATGAATAACATTGCTTAAAGATAAAGATCGACCATCTATTACTTTTATATTTTTATATATATATATATAGGTTTTGACTTCTATATTAAATTTTTTTTATGAAGTTTGAAAACTCCTCATTTAAAAAATAAGTAGATATTCTTGAATCTAACAAAGTATTTATTTGAAGTTTTTGTGGGCTAAAAAATAAAGATATAATAAAGAAATGAACAAGTTGAGCAAAGAAAGAAAGGCCTTGATGAATTTGAAGAATTGAAATATTCAGCTATATGGTTCCTATTGTAATTGCGCCTCTTCATTTTTCTAAACAATTTCACTCCAAATCCTAGTTATAAGTTGTTTCTTAAGATAGTTTCTAAGTTTGTAGCCTTCTTTATCACAACACAAATATAAACTTTTTTCAAATTGACGCTTCTTTTCTTCTACTAAAAGAAATTTGAATTATATTGCATCAATTTGCATATCTTCAACATCGAAGTGTAAAAAAAAATTATTTTTTGAAGAAAAAAAGTAAAAAATTTTAGTATATTTTTTTTTCAAAGTCCACAAACATTAATCTTAATAGCATTAAAATAATTGATTATTGCACTTCATAGCTTAGCTGATAGTTTTATTGAATATTTGAGAATCAGATAATGATAATAATAAGTCTTTTATATCATCCTTTAGTTTCTAATAGAATTGCCTTATAAGACCTTATTCATTCCAATTAATGTCATTAGTCAATTGCCTAAAATCAAATACAGAAATTGATGCAAAGCATGACTTTTGACATAATGAGTAAATTTTTGTTGTTGTCCATTGAGCCTTGTCTTGTTTTCCAAATGATTCTACAAATGCTTATAAAAAAACTTCAAAGTTATTTAAGATTGTAGATTTCTTTTCAAATAAAAGAGCAAAATAAGATAAGGCTTGTTTTTTGAGCAAGGTTCCAACAAAACCAACTTGCAACTCCATTTTTGAATAGGAATTAAATTATAAAAAAAATACTAATCAAATTTTATTAAAAAATTATCAAAATTTGGAACATGTGCCATCAAAAATAATTACAAGATTAATTCAAGGCTCTTTATATTATTGAATAAGTGATTTTTCTTATAAATGTACATGTGCCAATGCCTCCTTGGATATAGAAGCTTAAGAAAGTGGTTGCATCATAGGCTGAAATATTCTAGGTCTTGCATCACCACAAAAAATCCTTCAATTTTAGCAGTTCTACAAGATAAAGCATTCAATGTATTCATAATAACATCTAATTTGCACTTAAGAGACTCAACCATACTAACATCTTCACCTCTAACCATCTTAAAAGAAAAAAAGATTTTTTTTAAATAGTATCAATTTAAAAGAAGGTACCCCTCAACATCTAAAGCACTTAAATGTCTTCAAAAAGAAGAATAATCTACTCTCTATTAAGAAGGATCGAGCTCTAATATTAATAAGATGATAATTTTGACAAACTGTCATAGATATACTATATAGGAGACTAAATAAAAAAAATTAAACAAAAGAATTCTAATAAAAAAAACTAATAAGAACTTAATTAAATCAGATGATTACAAAATCAATACTAAGAAAAGTAAGCTAGAATCTAAAAGATATGTTGTCAAGATTAGGGATCTTCTTAGCTTTGACTCTAATATATATTAAGTATTAAGAAGCTTTTCAAGAAGGTTCTAAGTTGCTTGAAGATGAAGCAACTCTAAAAAGCTTCTTGAACAACTTCTTTAATCATCCAAGAATTTTTTAGAATCTACTAGAATATTCTTAAAATATTCTAGAATCTTTTAGAATATTCTAGAAATATTTCTAAAATCTTCTTATTGGATGTTTGTAATAATGTTTCATATTAGATCAAAAATAACTTTTTTTTTTAAAATCACCAATTTAAATATATAAAATTTTAAATATGCTTGTATTGATTAAATATTTAAGTTATTTTTAATCAAATAATTTTTGATTATTGATGATAATGTTAATTACAAAAAAAAAAAAAAAAAAAAAAAAAAAAACTAATTTGATTGAAGTCTAATTTATTTGAGAAATTACTAAGTAGACACCTTTATTTGATGTTTGAACATCCCTTTCAATAATTGAAGACAAGTATGCTTATTGTGCCTAATTTCTCTATATTCTACATTTTTTATTTATTTTTTTCATTTTCTACCAACTCAAATGGAAAAGGTTCTTGTTGGATGCTTTAAAAATGAAGGGATGTCATACTACCAACATGTCTTCTTTTTATATGTAAAATTTATAAATTCATTATTTACATATATTTTTTGTAAAAAGTATTAAAGCAATTGCTTTAAAGACATTGTTAATATAATAAAGATTCTTCATGAAGTGTTGCAATTTCTAACAACATATCTTCCAAGCTTAGATTCTGTAATATTTTTTCATCCAATAAGATTGATTTTAACCACTAATTCAAAAATAAATGATTAAAAAAGATATGTTCATTGATATCTAATAGTCCCTTTAGTTTGTAGAAACATGAAAGTCCTATTATTGTCTGCAAGAAACTAATACAATTTAAGATTGTATAGCCATCTATAAATTTATTTATTTATTTATTTATTTCTAAATTTTTCAAAAACCTTATGGAATGTATAGTAGGAATGTTTTTCAAATAATAAGGCACCAAAAATGGCTAGTATATAAGTACAAAATTATAATAGACTCATATACAATTTTATGATGTATGGCATGATCTTGACTTTTTATCAATAGAAGAGTTTTGTTATACACATGATTAAAGTCCTCAGTTGATACTGCAATTCATATCTTCATTATCAAGTGATTTCTTTGCAAAAGAAGTAACCAAATGCCCAAAATACATTATCTTTGTTATCTACATGCAAATAAAGTGAACTTGATGTACAATCTAAGTTTTTTATATGTGGTCAATAACTTCTCTTGTGATGGTTTAAACTCTATGCAACTCTATCTACAAGATTTGAAGTTTCTCCTCCATATCAACATAAGCAACATCCTTCCAACAGTGCATAAAGGCTTTAAAATCCTCATTGGTTTCAAACCACTTCTTTACTTTTGCCAAAATGTTCTTTTGGTTGTACCAAGTACAAAATAAGTTGGTCACAATGTTCCTAAAAATCTCCTTAACAACTTCCATCAATGTTAGGTTTTTATTTGTTAATATTATCCATGGTGTTATTTGATCGTTTACAGCATTACTAACATATTTCGAGGTCTACAAATAATTGGCATTTTCTTTTCCTACATGAAGCAAAAATTGACAAAAAATAATATGTTGGTGGTTGTTGAATCAACACCATGGAAGATAGCCATATTGAACTTGAATATATTATGACAATAACATATTACACAATTGTTGTTTGGTGTTGTATATGCTCTAAATAATGCATTGTCTTGTTTTACTATCAAATGCTAAAAATAATTGCTTTGAAAGCATCCCTTACTTTGCTCATACATTAGATGGCAACAATATCATGAAAGGACATAATGTGTGCATTGGAATATGTGGAAAGAATTGGTGAAGGATCATGGTTGTGGTCTTCCATCTTAATTGCTATCTTCCATAGCTCATTACTACTATCCACTTGCTGCAAGGTAGAACTCTAGGAACACTTATATCTATGTGAGCTAGTTTGTCATGTGCAAGCTTTCTTTAAGATAGGAACAAGTGTTATTTTTATTATGTATGAGCAATTGTAAGTACAAGAAGGCTAAATCCACCCATCTAGAATTCAAAAACTTTGTTACCAAGCTGCTTGTGTTTTCAAACAAATCCCTATTTAAGCACATTCAATGATATTAATGTGTGTTTAATAATAATATTATTGTGCATATACATGGATGTGTAGCATAAGGGATGTCTATGTAATAAAAAGAAGGTATCCATCTAATAATTATTTTAATTTAACTATGACATCTTTTAACTATAATATATATATATATATATATATATATATATATATATATAATTTTAACTAAATTTCTTTATTAATTTCTTTATTAAAAGTATAAGAATGTAGAGAAAATAAAATCAAGTCTCTTATGTCTAAAAATATGAAATTGCTACCAAATAGATCACTTTTGCAAAAATTTGATGAATTTAAATTAGATACAAAAATAATTTAAAAATTGGGCATTTATTTTTTAAAATCAAACCTTATTGCTTGCAATAAATGAATGCATGAATCTATAAAATACTAACAAATAAACATATGTTGTTTCTAAGTAACTATTTTGAATGAATATGATGGTTTAGAAACTAAGAATCTATATAAGACAAATTATATAATTTAGCACTCATTATTATACTATCAAATTACAACATTGGAACATTGTAATAGTCAAATGTTCAAAATAATAATCAAAACTTTAAAACAAATATTGAACAAACATCAACTCCCAACCAACAAATTAACTTTGTTAGGAGACAACATCTTAAAATAAGAACAATATTTTTCAACCTAAAATGTAATATTAATTTTGTGAAATAAAACATTTTATTATATGAGATACATATGTCATGATGTACACATGCAATACATATAGATAATAAATTTATAACATTTATATATAAGAAACAAGCAATTTAGTAAATATGAGATATTGAAATAGTACAGCTTGGACTGAAAGAAAAACATATCATTCGAAGGAATAAAGTTGTGTAATATATATATATATATATATATGAAAAAAACCATATATTATGTGCAAATTAAATTTAGCAGCAGTTTGTGAGTTTTCTTTGACTACCACCATCACAACTGCAATTTAAATTTTTATTTAATTGAATTTGACAGTTCCACTTCCAAAATATTGGGAGTCAGGAGTTGATATGGTGCGGAATGATCACAGCGGTGACCATTGACAAGTAACCTGCAGAAATTTGATCGAGTCGCAGGAGTCATATTGAAACTAGCGCCCACGTTATCACACATACAACTGACATGGTGGTTTCTTTGAGGCTCCTCTGCAAGTGCAAGACTGCAAATACTATCTGCCAGAAAACTGTTGAAAATAGATGAATTTATACTGTGTACATAACGTACAATGAATCAAAATGTCTAAGCGAAACATATTAACCACCCTCGTTGGGCATTCAATGACCACTACTGATCATTTGGCTTCTTCAAAACTGTTTTCAAAGCACTCCTACGGACCCAACTGAGGCACTAACCTCTAGATTTTTCAGCTACTTCTTGCTGAAGGCTTTGAAGTTACCGCATTTGTGAAGGAGAGCAAAGTAGGCCTGAAGCATCAGCCCCGACCACAGCAAGATCGCAAACTGGACACAAACTGTTTGCGGTCTCGGGAACAAAACGTGCTTTGCAGTAAGGACATGAAACATCCCTGCTGCCACGATAGATTGGAGTGTACGTAGCCCCACAGACCACAAAAGGATTGCGAGGATCATAGTTGAGCTCCATCTCATTTCTTGGGTTTTTCTCACACACTTGCAAGACCTGCAAGAGAAGGTAAACATCAATATTGAACTAAAATGAATGAAACAAATATAAATCACAAGACAATTACGAGTTAAGAAGTGCAGGTTTCTTATACCAATACAGAAAAGTAACTACATAGTTGACAACAGCAAAACATGAAAGTACTCTTTGAAAAAACTGGGAACTTCATGTCGATGTGATGGTTAGTGCAACGCTTAAGCAATGATAGGCGACATTGACAAATGCAACAAGTATTCTCATCACTAGTACTGAAGGGCGGCAGACAAAAGATAACCAAATTTTACCTGGCGAGTCTTGCTTGCTACAGCTGGAGACAAGTTTAACTCTAGGAGTCTTCGTGCAATGGATGCGGCGGTGTTGTAGTTCTTGGCTTTGAAACAAATTGACATAGCTGACTGCAGACTCAACTTCAAATGGGTGGGTTGCATCTGACAATGAGTAAAGTAGGCAGCAAGTTCGGATTGGGACTTCAAATCATCTTTCAAAGCAGGTTCTTTCCTCTTGAGTTCGATCTTGAGTGCCAGAGTATACTCCTTAGCAATCCCAAGAAGCTCTTTCACCTCGTCCACTTCTTTGCGAGAATCGACCACCACAACAGGTATCGTGTGCAGAATATCAAGGAAGAGTCTGAATTTTCATTACGTTCATTGGATAGGCGTGTCAGCAAAAGAGCAAATCCATGGTCGAAGAAATTGGCCCTGTAGTGAAACAAATAAATACATAGGATAACGTGACAACTACAAGGCGATAAAAAAACTGTAGGGATTAAGTCTCAACACATACCGAAGCGCCTCGGTGAATTTGCCCTCTGTAGTCGTCTTGTATGCAACCTTGAGCTTCCCTTCAAGGGAGGAAAGCTTCGTCAAAATTGCAGGAGATCCCTTCGCATTGATTGGTGTGCTGTCAGTCCACCCTCGCTCCAAAAACAAAGGTAGCTCTGGTACAGATACTAGAGTTGGTAGAAGAGCCTGACTCGCAAGATGAAGTTCCAAGAAAATATTCTTCAAAGGTTTAAAGTTATGGATTCCAAGCTGGCGACTCAGCAATCTCATTGCTGAATCGAAAGAGCCAGCAGCTGCATGTTCTCCAGCGAGAGAAGAGCTCTGAATCCAGTTTTGACTTTTTTGAACTCCTGCGGAGGGAGTAACAAAATAGGCAGCCTCAAATGAAACCTCAGGTGCATGCGCATCAGCCGGAATTTCTAGATCCTCCATTTCCCAGCCTCCCTCTTCATCATCACCTAGCAACAGAGGGACGTAAGAGAAGTAACCATAGTCAGCAGCAGAAATAATACGAAAAATGTCTCCAGAAACTTACGCAATGTTGTACACAGATATAGTAAACAAAACGTCATCTTTACATGATACACACCTCTATCCTCTTCTGGAACAACAATCACTGTCTCTCCGTCGAGGCCCTCTGGCTCAACAATATCTATTTCTGCTCCCCAAGCTCCTGCAGCTCCGTCATCACCATCCGTATCAGCTGCTCCAACGGTTTCTGTAAAAATACCCTCAAAGAGACCCTTGCTAACTACCAACAATGGCCAGTTGTTTTCCTGAAGGATTGGCCTTGGTGGCATTAATAAAGCTGATTTTTCTTCATCGGGAAGAGATGGAATATTGTCACCAAGTTGTCTCTCCAATTCCTCAGCTGCTTCAGTCAACCCATGAACTTTAGCTGTGGCATACGCTAAAGGCAAATGGTTACATTCCTCCAGAATCGCCACTCTTTCTTGAACATCGCCAAGATAAAGTGCATTATGGAAACGCCCCATAACATCACCACGCATCTCTGCAATCTTCAGCATCTTTGCAAGCTTCTCCACATTGCCGGTTATAAGATACAAGAAGGAAAGTCTCTCAAAATTCTTAGTCTTCTGATATGCATATTCAACAATCTCGTGGTTTCCCTGAAAGGCATTACATCATTGACTAACATAAGTAAAGATAAAAGGATTACTGGCCAACATCGAAGAAGATAAGCATCCGTACACTTCAGAGTAATAAATAAGTTTCCAACAATCGAACTCAGAACAGGAGGAATGATGCCGTACAAAAGTCCACATAGGTTCGAGTCCCAGGAAAACCGATGTGGAATTTATAGTTTGGAGTTGTAACACTAAAAAACAGATTAAGGACATAAGAAATTCCATAATGCTTTCACATGGAAGAAAACCTGCCAGCTTCTAAAAGCCTTAAAAGAGGATCCACAATCAAGATAAAGGCTCAGAGATTTACCTGTCGTAACGCCTCAACACCAAGGCGATGCCAGCAATCCTTTTCGTCTATCTCCTTCGCCGATGCTACTGCAACTTCAGTGTTACCGCACTCAACAGCCAAATTGAAGCGAGTCTGTTCATCTTTAACAAAGTGCAAGGCAATCTCCGGAAACCCTTTCTGTTGAAGATATGCAATAATAGACTGTCCACAAAGCTGTAAGCTTTGAACAATGTGCAACACCTGGATATAAATTACCAATTTCATTAATCACTAAAAATAACTAAAATTTGCAAAGCAGTGTAAGCACATCTAATTTCAAGCGCATTAGAAACGTGCTTGAACCACTCAACTCTTAAAGAAGTGATCTGCTGCACTTCAGAAGTGACTAAAACAAGTCTAACTTAATTAAGAAAATGTTTCACTACACTTGTATAAGACATGGACATGAATCACAGTATAAACAAGGCAAATGCAAGTAGCTTACCTGGTCAAACTTGCGCTGGATGAGTGCTAGCTTGAATGTATACTCAGTTGCGTCGATTTGAATAACCCGGTTCTTGCCATCCCGGTCCAAACAGTAGATGGAATTTCCGCTGACTTTGGTGATATACACTGGTACATCTAGCGTTCTAATAATTCCGCTGTCTCCATTTGGTAAGCAATACTTGATGTGGTTGAGGGTAGTGTATATGAACACACCAGAATCATCCCATGCGCCACTCTTCACACGGATGGTCTCATGAACGGTGCACTTGTGCACGAGCTTCTTGTTGGCCACTACTACGGCATGCTTGCTTAGCAATGCCACATTCTCCATATCGTTTGACCACACCACATACTTCACAAAGGGAGTGCTGACCTCCCCCAGTGTGGCACGTTGCTGCAGATCAAAGAGCACGATTTTGTCCTCTGTCCTACAAAGTAAGTTTCCAGTTCCAGCATAAAAGATCAAATCTGTGTTAAGGGATGGCAGTGTGACTTTCTTGGTCACTTCATTTTTCAGATTCTTGATGACAATCTGGTTTTGGTTTTTTTCCAGGACAGCAAATCTGTTTCGTGCTACAAAGATTGCAGATGAACCTAACCCACGCTTTGCCTCCTGAGCTACCTCACTCCTGCCGTTGCTCTCCTTAGGAACGATGTACAGCTCATATGAACCACCATCGACATCTGAACATAATAAAACTGCATTCTCTGCTGGGTTGTATGACAGAGTCCGCGGACCCTGATTTAGCCCCATGGATCCTGCTCGACGAATGGAAATAAGAGGGTTGTCCTTTCCAGAAGTAAAATCATAAGTGCGTAAAGAACGCTCCTTCACATAGTACAACGTGCCCCCTTGGACAGCACAAGCAGGCCTCTCTCTCTCCAGCTTGAAGACAATCATTCCACTATCATGACCAGCTGCAAGAAGGTTCATCTCAGGATGGACAGAAAGAATCCAGAACCGATCGTGCTCTCTTCGAAAGGTCTGTACACCAGTGCGCTTCGACATATCCCACACACGGATGCTCTTGTCCTCGGAGTTCGATACAATGACATCTTGACGTGCGTGAAACAGGACACAAGAGACGTTGTTCACATGACCCCGCAAAGTGTCCACCTCCCATGCCTTAGTATCTGCAGAACATTTGAGGTGGAATCAAACTACAATAGTGCATTACTATAAAGGCGTAATAAAAACATCATCGACCACACAATTAATTTATAAAAAGATTAAAGACAGCGAAAATGAACAAACGTCATTGCAATCAGGAAATGTATCGCTTTGAAACTGTCCAGTCGAACAAAGCATTCGTAAATGCTGCAAATCAGACGAGTACCATTCATTCTCCACAGCTTCACTTGACGATCATCTGCTCCAGACACAATCAGCGGCAAAGAGGGATGGAATGATGCCCAATTGACACCCCTGTCGTGGCCTTCTAGAACATACTTCACTACAGAATCACCTCCTCCAAAAAGATCAGTATTCATCTGCGCAAGTCGCATCATATCGTCGGCTGGAGACACAGACTTCTTCTTCAATGCTCCAATATCCCAAACTCGTACAGTCTGATCCAATGATGCAGATACCACTAAATCCTCCTTAATATGGAATGATGCGCACATTACGTAATGGTTGTGTCCCGTAAGCACAGAAATGCATGTGCGAGATTGCCAGTTCCAAATGCGGATGGTCTGATCATCACTAGCACTCACAATCCACGGACTTTCATGATGGAATTTGACCGTCCGGATGTAATCGAGGTGACCCAGCAAAGTGAACAAGCAGCGTCGCATCTTGTAGTTCCATACCTTGATCTTATAATCATCCCCTACATTTCCAATATCCATACACATTGCACACCATGTTAAAAAGAATGACAAAAGTTTAGCAAAAAAACCTAGAAAATCTAACCAGATGAAAGCAGCCTAATAACATGTCGAGATACATGTGTGACTTACAGGAAGAAACAAGCATTAGAGCCGACCAAAACAATTCAAAGATCCCGACCTCGATTCGAACTCCTCAACCTTCCACTACAAACAACTCATATTGCACGGGATCTAAACACACCAACTTTAAATCTACAGAAGCTCCATTGCTAGCTAAAAGCAGTTTACGGAATTTTCATGCTATCATGTTCAACAGCTACATTACATGCTCAATGCCAGCCCTACCGCAGAGCTCCTGAAACAATTCGTCCCGACAAGACATAATCGGTTCAATATATTCTTAGGTCGCGATCACCCCGGAGATTTTGCCACGATCGGAGCCTATAATGAATCAAGCCAAGTGCGACGTGAAACCCGATTATGCAGACAATGTGGAGGTACTTAGATGAATAGAACAAAGACGAACGGACCCCCCATCCTCCCCCAAATGCGCTAAGACACGCTGAGAGGCAGCAGATCTCATCAGTCAAGGCCACAGCAATAGCTTCCTCAAATTGCCACGAATCAGTGGGAGGAGAAGAAAACTAACCTCCAGAAACAAACAGAGGCTGCGACTTGTGAAAATCGACGCCCCTCACAGGACCATCGTGCTCATCGAACCTATCGATGAGCGTGCCCATCCGGTAGTCCCACAGCTGAATAATGCCGCTGTGCAAGCTGGCGAGAATCCATGGCCGCCGCGAGTGAAAGCTCAGCCCCTTCACCCTGTTACTCTTCGTCTCGAACTTGGTCAACATTGTGCCAGATCCAGTCACTCCTCACGCCTATCGCCCTCTCCCACAAGCAGAAGACCTAACACAACAGAAAATGCAACAAATCCCTACACCCTCCAGCACACACTACTCTTAAAAACCATTCCCAGGTCTCAAACTAAAGACAAAACCCTCGGCACGCGTAGCTTCACCGGTGCAACAAAATTAACAACCAGATTTCTCCTCCCACAGTTCTCCTGCACTCCACACCCCGATCGCAACCTCAACAAAGCTCCTCGGCGGGGCCTGGAGCAGCAATCGGCAGAGCTGCACGAGCGAATCGGGCCCGAGACGGAGGTCGCCCCACCATAGCCACGTCTGGCAGGTGCACTGGATGGATGACAAAACACTTCGTACATCCTATTCAGGCACATCTTCATTCATCTGTTCAATCATGTGGCGCACCACTCCACGCACTCTTGTTCCCCGTGCATGATTGGGCCTCTGATTGGCCCCAGCTCCATGAGTCCGTTCCCTATCGCGGGGAACCAGTTTCCCTCGAGGTGATGGCACGTTCTTTGCCCATATGGGGGGGAACTCTGGGGAACTTCGGGTTCGTCACATGGACGTTGACTAGGTTTTGAACAGAGTGAATGAGAATGGGAACCGTGTTCTTCATTCATCTTCTCTGGGAGCGTGATCCCTGTTCACACCTCCTATCGCTTCATTGACCGGTCTCATGACCGTGAGAAGCAGCTCCTACAGGCAAGATACACCCATGACCATAGACAAAGTTTCTTATTGCTTTCGTTGCTTGAAGTAGCCCATCAATTTTAGCCTTTCATTCTGTGAAATAATTTTGATTTAGCTATTTAATTCTTTTCTTGAAAGAGTAAAAAGCATTCACTAGTTGCATCAATTTTTGTGTTTGAGTTTTGTTTGCATTGTTATTCTATAGTCAACAGTTGACTAGAATTAATTCATAACTTATATCTACAAAGTCACCAAAAATTTACCTTAGTTTTATTTTATTTTTTAATTCAGAATTCGGAAAATTTAAATCAAATTAAAATCAAATCAATGAAAGATACGAATGGAATTTATTTTACTGCAAATTATTTATGTTTTGAGTTTTTTTTACAAAAATGAGAAAATAATCACATGCGTTACTGCATCAGTTAAAGGGATACAATTTAAGATGTATGGTTGATTTTTTACAGTTGTGAATTATCACTGTTTAATTTTTTATAAAAATAAAAATAGTAATAATAGTAATACCACAATTTTTAGTTCTTGTGTCTGTGTTAAATGATTACACATAAATATAAATATATAAATTTGAGCATTTTTAAAGATGTACAATTCTAAATTCTAATTTTATAATAATCACAATCTTATTCACAATTTTTTAAATGAAAATAGGTCCTACACTACTCCACTAATTTTTAAATATAATTATTTGATTATCAGTATTTTTTTATATTTTATAGAACTCTTTTGGAACATTTTGAATTTGACCATAATGACTAATAAAACATACAATTGCCATCCCAAATGTAAAAAAATGCTTTATTGTAGTTTTATTTTAAATTTGTTATTTTATTTTATGTTACCTTATAATCTAATCATACTATTTAAATTTTAAAATTTTCTAAAATTATCTGATACTATACAAAACTAATCCTAATTTTGAATGACAATCTAATAAGTATCATTTCTACTTTAACCTTATTAAAGAAGCTATTTTGCATTTAAATGTTTTGTTCTATATTTCTTTTTTGTATTTCAAATCCACTCAAAGCCACCTGTCAAGTTTCTCATGACGTCTTCTTTAATCTAATAATAATGTGCTCTTAGGACCTTTAAACCAGTTTTTAGTTTAAGTGGATTTGTCCATTATAATACATAATATGTTTTCAATTGTACATGTTGCTAAGCATGATTATATAAATATTATATGTATTGCATATGATAACAAAGAAGTACAAGATACTTATTACCTACTTCCATAATATTATTATATTAAGAAATATATATATATATATATATATATATATATTGTGATATAATCCATTTCTTATAATAACATCTATATTGTTGTCCTTAGAAACAATACTCAATGTAACTTCTATATTTTACAATTTACTGTAATAATTATTGAATAATGTAATTTCTAAAATACAATCCACCTTCACCTAATAGAAAGCATACATGTTATTCTTGTGATTTTGGAGTTAAATTTGTAATCTCAATGAATCTAAAGATGTCTCTCCAACTTACTAATATAATGTTTAATTTTTACACATATGATTGTATAAATATTTTTGCATATCAAATTTTTTAAGTATGAAAATTAAAAATTCTTATATAGTCTAATGATTATAAAAGATAATGAAACAGCTCTATTATCTAAAAAATTACTTATTCTTAAAAAAAATAATTAAATAGTTTTTTTAATATTTTATATTTAAATAATATAATTGTTATGTGCTGATGTAAAAAAACATACATTAACATCATTACATACAATAATAGCAATGATAGTATAAACTAGTTTTTTTAATAGTAATCCTTGCAATTTTGGATGGATTTAAAAGCCAATATACTATGTACACCACCCATGCTACCAATTATCTATGAATATCAAATTACAATTTATTATTATTTGCAATTGAGCATCACTTCATTATTTTTGGCCATTCACTAGTTTTTTTTACAATAACATTATTGCAACCATAATACAATTTCTATACATTATTACTAATTTTACAATAATTTTAGACAATTATACGATTCATTATTAAGAAGCAACATTTTCATACCATAGTTAGGGACATATTCCTTAGAACTTTCTAGAGAGAAGTTTCTAGAACCTTCTAAAAAACAAACCTCTAGAACCTTCTAGAAGAGAAGCCTCTGGAACCTTTTAGAGAGAAGTTTCTAGAAGCTTCTAGAAAGGAAGTCTCTGAAACCTTCTAGAAGAGAAGTTTCTAGAAGCTTCTAGAAAGGAATCCCCTGGAACTTTCTAGAAGCTTCCTAGTTAATAGAAGTAGCTCGAAAAGGTTCTAGAACCTTCTAGAAAGGAAGCCTCTAGAACCTTCTAGAAGCTTTCTAGTTAATAGAAGTAGCTCGAGAAGCTTCCTAAGTAGGAGTATATATAGGGATCGAGGCTGAAGAGTTCTTCAGTCTCGACAACACATCTCTTGGAGTTCTAGCTTACCTTTCTGGTGTTGTTCTTGTACTCATCTGTTTAATCTAGTTCTGCCACTTCTTCTTGAACTTCTTGTTAGATTTCAAGTCTGTATTTTGTGTCCGTGACAGTTTGTCGAGACTACACTAACTTGAGATATCAGAGCTAGTTCTTTCTTAGTAGAGTGTGGATTACCCCTCTACTTGAAGGTATACTAGCATTTTTTAGAGGTTGCGGATTACCCTCCTCTAAACTGATACTTCTTTTGTTACAATATTGGAGTCTTATTCTTCTTGGAGAGAGTGGATTACTCCTCTTCTTGAAATTCTTAAGGCGTTTTATAGGTTGTGGATTACCCTCCTATAAACCAATATTGCCTCTTATAGGATCATTTTTGTCCTTCTTTTAGAATAGCCGGAGGTCAAGACATTAGTATGACAGAAAGTTCGGAGTCTAAGTTAGATGCTATTATGAATGCCCTCGCTACGTTATCACAAAGAACTACAGAGATTGAAGGAGTGGTGGCAAGGCTTCATAATGATGGAGTATCTGGGATAGCACAATCTAAACTACACCAGCCTCAAATTTTGGCACTTGGAGAAACAACTTTACCTCAGGTTCGACAAGAACCACTAGTTCTACAACATAAGGAGCCTCGAGTTAGCCTTCCAGATAAGTTTGATGGAACACGTTCCAAGTTTCGAGGATTCGTCAATCAAATCAGGTTGATAACAGTTTTACAGCCCGAACGATATCCAACGGAGGAGTCACGTGTTGGGCTTGTTGGAACCTTACTTATGGGATAAGCTCTATCATGGTTTGCTCCTTTGTTTGAGAAACGATCATCCATATTAAACAACTTCGAAACCTTTTTGGAAGCATTTGCGGAAGCATTTGGTGAACACGATAAGGTTCGATGGGCTACAACAAAGATCCGGTCGCTACGACAAGGGATGCGTTCTACATCAGTCTATGCTTCGGATTTCAGGCAATTAGTATGCGACATCAATTGGGATGAAGAAGCGTTGATGAGTCAATTCTATTGGGATTTAAGAGATGATGTGAAGGATTTGCTGTTAACTCTTCCTGATCCACGAACGCTCAATGAAGCCATTAGCCAAGCTGTGAAGTGCGATAATCGCCTATTCCAATGTCGCCAAGACCAACGCTCAAGACAACATACAATTCGCCATGCTCCAACTATGTCGGCAAGCGGTGTGAATTCGCATTCAGAGGTGGAAGACATGCAAATTGATGTGGTACGTATCAAATCTCTTACTACAGAAGAAAAAAAGCGATGTATGGACGAAAATTTATGCTTGTATTGCGGTGGAGAAGGCCACAAAGTCGAAAACTGCCCCAAAAAGCAAAATCGAGGCATAGTCAAGACTAGGGGAGTATTTGTTCAGGAAAACGAGGATGCCCAGCCATAATAGGAACCGTGCGGCTGGACAATGAAATATCCCAACAACAATCAAGTTCTTTTCTTTCTGCCCAACCTGCACTTTGTTTTACGACCCCTCTGTTTATCGGCCCTCAAAAATTGAGAACCTTAGCACTACTAGACTCAGGAGCATCTGCTTATTTTTTAGACGAAGAATTTGCAAAGCGTCATAAGATTCCTTTAGTACAAAAATCAAAACCTGTTCATGTTGAGGTCATAGATGGACGACCTTTATTATCTAGTAGCATCACCGATGAATCAAAACCTACAGAAGTAACGTTTAAAGACCATAGTAGTCATATTATTTTTAATATTATTAGAACCCCATCAAATCCTATTATTCTTGGTCTTTCTTGGTTGGAAAAACATAATCCATTGATAGATTGGAGGTTGCGGAAGATGACTTTTCTCACAAAACCACCCAAGAAAAAACCTAGTAAAAAACCTCGAAAAAAGAAATCCTTATTCATTGGAGCAAGAGCGTTTATAAGATCATCTAAGGAAGGCACTCCATTTGTCATTTATGCGGCTCCAACTACCGAGGAGAAGATCTCAACAGCAAGTATACCGAAGCAATATAAAGATTTTGAAGACGTGTTTCAAAAGAAGAACGCCGACATACTACTGGAACACCGACCATATGATTGTGCCATAGACTTGCAAGAAGGAGCACAACCACCTTTTGGCCCAATCTACAATCTATC